AATTCACATCTCCAGCTTTGTGTTCGCAAATAATCTGCGACGATTGAAGACTAGCGGCAGGATCAAGAGGTGGAAGTTGCTGAACTCGTTGAATATGAAAAGGATGAAATAAGTTTTTCGAAAATTACTCTGTTTCTGTACTTTTGGAAACTAGACTCCATCTGTGTCCACCTCTTCTACCATTTTCAGAATTTCTTCTTCCTTGGTGGGTGTTCGAACTTAACAAGAACATCCGGCTGTAGGTACCTCTGTTAATTTTAAATGACAAGTGTCTCAAAGACGACTTTCAATATTTCTGGAAGTTCATGATCTGGGATCGATTGATTCGGGTATCTTTCATGATATACACGCACACTTCTTGAACCGAATTTGAAACGTTCAAATAAAAAATCTCGCGCGCGATCGAGAGCGACATTCACGCGCATGCGCGGGCCGGGCGCTCTTTCTTCCGCGTGCAGGCTGTTCATTAACGTTAACTTTTACTGCTGCTAGCGCGTTTATTACATGAACTATCAATGTAAAACTTTCTGAAAATAAATATTTAACCCTTTCTTTAATTGTCTCTAAAATCCCTGTCCGATACGTCCAATAGTTAATAATCAACGTTATAAAAAAGCTATCTTGGGAACAAAGAGGTATAAGTGATTTCTCTTTTTTTTAATTATCGTAAAAATAAGCTCTATTTAATGCAAAAAGAGCGAATTCCCGAGCGGCGTTTACCTGACCCTAGGACAATTTGTTCATAACGCTGTGGGGGCTATTTAATATCCACTTTTTGAATCTTTTTTCGAAACATTTCTTAGGATCAAATAGAACCTATATCTACGATATTAACTTTTAAACTTAACGTTTAGTAATTAAACAGACAAAAAAAATTGAAGCAATTGCAAAACCCAAGACAAAATTAAGAGTAGATTATTTCAAGGAAGAGGGTATTTTTCACAGTTCTGTTAATCCAATTACCTACTTCGTTTACTATGTCATAAAGCGACCTAAATGGAGATACTGGTACAACAAATTTCAATAAAATCTTACATTTGAGTCACAATTTTTTTGTCAACTTTGATGTTCTCTAACGAGTAAACGAAGCAACATAAGATATAGGTAAGTTTAATTAAATCTGCATATTTTGAACGTATGAAACTGTGGTAATTCCATGTACACGGAATATTGGGACACCCTGTAGGTCAGCTATTAGTCAAATATGAAAGAATAGTGATAAAAATATATTAGGCATGACTAATGCAGTGTGTTTGACGCGATCGAGTTACATTATCGCTTTAAACATCGCGGACTCTATTACGTAGAAAAAAAATATTCATCTAAAGTGGAAATATGTCCCGACGTGCTTTATGCATCACAGTTTCAGATTGTACATGTGAGGACTTTTATTACATTAATTGTTACACGTATAAAAAAGTAAAAACTGTAATGCTAATACTAACATCAATCACGTTTCTTGGGATAAAAATTGTTATGCCCAATATATTGGGTATTTAACGGGAATTACTGGATCTTTCTAAATCTAAAATGTTGCTTAAATGATATTATTAGAACTGTTGTGATATTTGTACAAAAACCAGAGAATTGTTTATTTCGTCAGCTGTACCAGTTACGGTATAATCGGTATTAGTGAAACTTGGTTAATATATGAGGGCGTGCCCAGTTCTGAATTTTTGTAGTAATGTGTATGACGTAATTGTAAAGATACTGATTTCAATGCAGATAATAAAAAAAGAGATGGAGGTGTACTAATAGCAATAAGCAAAAAATACTATTCATGTTTTTTGAGACGACTGCTACTTGCAACACTCTTCCCGACATTAACTTTAATTATTATTGGTGTTAGATTGAGGTTGGGTGAATTTTGGTTCTATGTTTTTAGTTTATGTGTTACCAAATCTGTATAAAATTAAATATATTTATTAGACTGGGCCAAAAAAATCGACTTTATTTTTTTTAAAGATATATCGAGAATATCATTCAGAATGACGAAATAAAATATCGTGAGAGTTTGAGCCCTTAATAGGTATTAGTTTTAAGACGTCTATCATCGCTAGTTTCGATTTTTTTATACCTAATCCCATTTTTGCGTCAAAACTGCCAAACCATCGAGGTAACAAAATATATCTCCATATATTTTTGATTATAATGATAGAATAATAATTGTCCAAGATGTATAATATCAATTTGTTCCATTGAGTGAAAAAAATTGGGTCCAAAACGAAAAAAACAAAAATTTACTTCATCTTCAATCGTGAATAACTTTTGAAGGAGTAAATTTATGCAAAAATGTTGAGACCTTTTTTGTAGAGCATTAAATTTCCTTTGAAAATCTGTTCTTTTTCAGATATTAATTTGTTCGTTATTTACAAAGTTCCAAAGTTAAAAAGTCAAATCGAAAAAACCTATCAATTTTCGAGGCTTGATTACATGGAAACGATTCGTCTGTCGAAAATTTTCAATTACACCTTTTTTGTAGGGTATTCAATTTCCTTCAAAAATATATGTAGATAAATTTTTTTACCTCGATGGTTTGGCAGTTTTGACGCAAAAATGGGATCAGGAATAAAAAATCGAAACTAGCTATGATAGACCTCTTAAAACTAATATCAAGAGCTCAAACTCTCCCGATATTTTTTTTCGTCATTCTGAATGATATTCTCGATATATCATTCAAAAATAAAATAGTCGATTTTTTTGGCTCAGTCTAATATTTATACTACTCTTGATACACTCGACTATACCGAATTATTAAAAAAATTCAAGTATGTGGCAGTGTCGCGGTTTCAAGTCTAATACTTTCCTCCAAACATTAAAACGTTCCGTAAGTCTATATTTGGTGCTCATCTATTTGTTATCTTTATTATTCAAATTATGACATTATATTTATAATTAAATTCAACAAGAACCAAACAATGAATATGAGAAATATGCGGCAGTCCCATCATATTATAATGCAATACATTCAGTGTATACGCTGTTAACAAGCTGCCTCATCAAGCTTCACGGATTTGCATTAGAATTTGCATTACAGACTTTGTACAGAGTTTGTGGTATGCACAATATTATTCAATAAAAGTGACAGTTTCACTTATCCAGAGAGTTTTAGAGTAAATTATTTAGTTTTTTTAATATTAAATTCTACAAACTCGTCAAATTTTATGTCATGTAGTGCTTTGTGGAAAATTATTATTGTCAAGATTTCTGTGATAATTGAAATAAGGGCTATGGATTCACGTAAAATTACAGGGTGATCGAAGAGGCGTTTTCCTTAAAAATAACTAAATACAGGGTGTTCCTAAATATCATGTACATAGGAGGGGGCGATTCTTTGACTTATTTCATGACTGTTCATATAAACATAGGTCCACAAACGCTTCGTTACCGAAAGTAACCCTGTAGTGTTGAAATTTCAAGATTTTTTTAGTTTTTTTTCTATAACTCCGTCATATGCAGACCCAAGTTACGATTTCAAATGCAAACTGTCTAAATTAATAGAAACAAGAGATTATCTAAATAAAGCCAGAGCCTACTGGACTATTTTAAGAATTTAAATTTCATCCGACGAATTACACAAAATCGTTTTTTATTTTTTTTCTCGATAATAGTCGCAGATACGAAAAAATCATCAGGCAAAAAAAAATTTCTCAACAAAACATAAAATTTTTGATTTTAGAATCTATCAGCGGCGCACCGTACAAAAGTTCAGGGGAAGAAAAGGGGGCGTGAACCCCGACAATATATCACTCTGTAGAATATCACGACCATTTGGCATGCTCAATGATGTAAGCCCTACAGCGTAACCTATGTTCCAAATTTGAGCTAAATATCTCAAAAACTGTGGGAGTTATAGACAAAAAACTAAAAAAAATCTTAAAATTTCAACACACTGTAGATCGGTAACGAAGCGTTTGCGGACCTATGTTTATATGAACTTTTAGTCATGAAATAAGTCAAAGAATTACCCCCTCCCTTATGAACATGATATTTAGGAACACCTTGTATAATTCCGAAAATAATCGACTTATTTTTCTAAACTTTATTATTACTTTCGATCGAGACTGACGTGCTTTCTTGGGGCGTGGAGATCCTTTGCCAGTCCATTGTGATGATTGAGCTTTTGTTTCGATATCATAGGCGTCAACCCCAACTTTCGCCTCCCGTTATGATCCTTTCAATGAATGTTTCATCGTCATTGGATTGTTTAAGGAGTTGCTGATAAACGTCCACACGATTTTCTTACTGCTGTTCGGTCATCAAACGAGGAACAAATTTTGCTGTAACTCGGATGCATGTCCAATTTTTCAATCCAAATTTTACCACATGACCCAAATGAGATGCTATAAACTCTTTTGCAATTTCTGTGACAGTCAATCGGCGATTTGCACGCGCCAGATCTTTGACTTTCTGAACGTGAGAGTCATCAGCTCAAGTCGAAGGCCTTCCTGGTCGAGGATTATCTTCAATTGACTGACGATCACTTTTAAATCGTGAAAACCATTGCGTACGACCCAGAGCATCATTTCCGTAAGCTTATTTCAAAAGTTGAAACGTTTCCGTGAAAGTTGTCCCCAGTTTCACTGAACATTTTACGTTGCATCCTTGTCACAGAAAATCGCACTAATCACATTGCACTCAAATAACAATATCACGAAAACTAAATGAGATATCAATAATCCAAGAACATGTAGTTATAGAGGAGGTTATGCGCAACGCAGTGCTACCAACCGCATATCACTAAATATCTCAATTAGCGCGTAATTTAAAAAGTTCGGTTATTTTCTGAACATACCTAGAATTACTTGCCATGAGAAGGGGTTCTAATGGTCCCTAACCCTCTGCCTCCCTTACGTACGACACTGGGACAATTAAAAAGAGTACAAAACAGTTTATAGTAAAAACGTATTCCTGGAGGCTAGAGTACTAATGAATAAAAGTCACAATCATTCAGTCACTGACATGCACACAGCACTCGGTAGAATGTAAAATGGACTCACCGATTGTCCTGCTGAGCCTGCGGGCATTTTCCAGGCATTCGGAGCCTAATTCGATACCCTGTTGGACGACTGCCTCCCCTGGCGCCGATACGATCTCTGGAATGTTCATTGGGTTTTTAAAATAAGGAAAAAATGTCAGTGCCGTTGGCGAGACGGAAACGTCTTTGGGGCCTTCCACGTATTTATTTACTAGAACGAAAGCAAAACGTGATTGGAACACCAACCAGACGCCAATATGACATTAAATGTTACTTAATAAGTGGCACGTACAAGACATTACAGGAGAATTTATTAGTGGTGTGTTTTAACTTTGGTCCCTAAACTTTGACGTTGCGATTGTTAGAAACTGCAGGAAGTGGGTCGGTTTTGAAATTAAGCAGATGAAAACGACAACAATTTTAGACGGTACAGGGGGCTACACAATTCCACATCCCGATAACTTAAATCATAGAAAAACATATTTTGATACTGTCAAAACAGAGCTGATAGAGCTCCCTGAAGACGCCAATTGACCACAAGTAGAATTTTTCCAACACAACTTGTAGATTGGTCAAATGAAATTTTATTCTATAATGTGTAAGTGCCGAATCAGCGATGACCGACTATAGAAATGTTTTGTTTATGATATAAGTTGACGGTATTTTGGCTATGTAGATTGCAGAATTGGAAATTGGAGACATTCAATCAATACAGTTCTTCTAGTGAACACGTATTTTTATTCCTGGTACATTTCCTTTAGTTACTAATTAATCTTACAATAATGTGGAGTACTGTTTCAAATAAAAAAATTAAATGTAAACAGGTAAATTAAAATCCTCTTTAATGTTATATTTCCTTTTCTACTAGTTGTTTTATTTGTCCGACGAGTTTCGGTTATTATGCTATCAGGGAAAAAGGATAATGACAATCATAGATGAAGAAATTGAATGCATAAACTTATATAAGTAATATTATAATAACATATAACATATCTAATGTAACACTTGTTTATTTTTAAAGTATTGTAATAATGGGAATATAAATAAAAGTGTTTATTTGCCTTTGAGATAATGTAATTTATGAGTATATATTGTATGCCGAAACTAAGAGAGGTTGTTCTTTGTGACAGTGGTGCCTGATCAACGCCCGAATAAGGTTGATTTTTATATCTGCGTGCTGGCTTGAATACATTTATTTAATGAATTTAATTTAATTTGTGAGTAATATGCCAAACTCGTTTATGTTTTTGATAACCCCAGGTCGCGCCACATGCTCCCGGTCTTAATGGCTGTGGTTCCTTCGAAGTGTGCCTTGTAAGTTCTACGGGGTCTTAGATGCGCTTCGATTGACACATACTGGGTGGTGTTGAGGTAGTTGGCATAAGATTATATGACTCACACACCTGATAGTTATGATGCTAACTAGTTGGCGTCTAACTAAGAAAGAATGATACATATTTGCTAATTAATACAATGGAAACGTATGGAAGGATATACCTTGAATCTTAAAGTTAGGGGGAGTGTAACCCCCCGGTGAGTTACCTATTTATTTGTTTTTATTGACAGAACAGTAATTGATATTTGTTTCATATATCCTATTAATTCTGGCGAATGGCCCGGCTGTTGTCGAGATCCCCATGGTAACATATGGCAAAATTGCTATAGTCAACTGTTTTTGTTCAAATGGCACACTATATATTTTTTTATCAATTCTGAAAGATATTTTTTTTCTGCGTTCGACTATGTAAGGAAGTCTATAGTGTCATTAGAAATATTGCTAGAAAAACAGCAAAAAAGATGCACCCTACTTTTCGTGGCTTTATTCTGAAAAATGATAGCCAGCTGCGAAAACAAGTTACTATGTTTTTTAAAGTAACATTTTATTTTTAATACGATAATAATATAACATACACAATTTTTAGTTTAGTTTTAAAAACTCCTCTTTTCTTTTGAAAATCATCTGCTGCCAAATTCCTGGTTAACTTTTCGAAAATTTTATCTGATGGAAGTTGTCTCTGCGGAAAACGATGTTGGTATAAATACTTGGCAGCTTTAGGGTTCTTTCAGCACTCTCCATAAATTAAAATCATATTTAATTATTCTTGGTTACTATAAGTATTCATCTTATAGTAATAATAATTAGTTATAGGTAGGTACAAAATGTCAATTATTTTGAAAAACCGTTATTTAGAAACGTCAAAATTCAGTTGTTTCCACAGCTGGTTATCATTTTTCAGAATAAAGCTACTGAAAGTAGGGTTCATCTTTTTTGCTGTTTTTCTAGCAATATTTCTAATGAAACTATAGACTTCTTTATATAGCTGAACGCAGAAAAAAATATCTTCTAGAATTGATATAAAATATATAGGGTGCCATTTGAACAAAAACATTTGTCTAAAGCAATGTTACCATGGAGACGATCTAACAATATCATTTGATAGAGATTGAGCGGCGATTTAAAAATATATACGGTTTGTTATAAATATTTGATAAAACAAAAGAGATACAAGGCCGCGAATATCAATCTGAATCAGCCGGTATATTTAAAAATCATCATGACAGATTGTCGAAAAATAATAATTGCTTATATTGTATACTGATATTTTCATATTTAAACAAACTTATGTAATTTATTCGTAGTTTATTCAGCAACTTCTTTTTCCATGATTCTAATTTTTTTTTCTCTGTCTGATGACAGACAGCATAATAGCCGAAACTAATAAGAAAGAATATAAAACATTTTTATACTGAATTACACAGAACTGACATTTTCATAATTAAACAAAACTTTGTTATTTATTAGTAGTTTTTGCAGCAATTCCCTTTCCTATGATTGTTACTTTTCTTTCCCCTGATGATGGCCTTATACCGAAATCTAGAGGACAATAACGGCCAATAATTTACTTTGTTTTTAAAGTTATTTACATTACATAGATATCCAATGACATCAGTTTATGACGTAAATAATTTTGAAATTATTGCATCAGGTCTATGAAAAGTTACAGATATAGATATTCAATTATTAAATAAAACGTTTCATTTTCAATATATTACATAAAAGATAAAGCTACCTCTTTATATACACTATCTTCCAAAATTTATAATAAGGGAGATAAGCGCTTTTAAAAAGGTTAAAAGTTCTTCGAGATACTAATATTTTAAATTTAGACTAAGGGCATTTGGGCAGTACTTTAGCAGTTTTTCATTTTTTTATACTACTATTGAAAGGAATTCGGGTTTACATTTGAAATGGCATTTGTAAAATAATAATAATGTCATAACATCGACAGCATGTGTTTTAAAATGTCAGACAATCCGAACAGTTTCTATTTTGAGTTCATAATCAAACATATAAAGGTCAATAAATTGTTCACTTCATTATGACTGATGGTTGACATTTCAAAACATATTAGGTACGATGAGAATATCATGAAATTTATTATTATGCATGTATATCTAAATTCGCTGAAATCGTTTAGATTTATCTAACCCAAACATACTTTTTTTTCTATAGCAGGCCTTAAAATCAATACCACCTATTCAAAATTGAAAAAAAAAGATGTAGAAATACAAAAGCTGGGGTCGAAATAGTGATAATCATCCTCTAAACAACCTCTTACGCAAGGCTTGGGATTTGAATAATATCTACTGCATAAATTGGTGTTCAGATGTCTCAAGTCCAAGTCTTTAGTTTGAATAAGATATTTCTAAGAATTTATGTCTCCCTTATTGTCCATTTACGAATAAAAGTTTATAAGGGTGTTACAAAGAAATAGGATTAAGTAAATCAAGAAAATTAATAAAAATTCTTCTCAAATTCGATATTTCAAAAAAAAACACTATTTTTTTTTTAAAATGTCTAGCCTGATGCGCAACGTAAAAAAAATGTCTAAAGAAGTTGTAATATCTCAAAAATCACACCATAAACCAAAAATTATCTGAAAAATTAGTAAACATTTTTTTTAAATAACAAGCAATATCTTTGAGCAACTGGAAAAAATTACTCCCTGTCCTCCGTTCACGCTTCGATTTTATTAACCAAAGTCACACAAATAGCATGCCAGATTACAAGTGCAAAATTTCAGATGGATATCTTAAACGACGACAGAGTTACTAATAAAAACACTTTTTCTTAATATTTATTCTGAAATCTTGGACCTTGAAAACAAGGCGTTTAAATAAACAATGCAATAGGAAAGTCCTATTATTTTTGTTCAAAGTAATTGTAATGTTTTTGTATCACATTTAATTATCCTGAAAATACCGCGGGAGAATTTGGGAGCACCCTGTATAAATATATTTCCGCTCTTTGCCGGGGCGGCTTTTTTTATTGTCTTCCTTAGTTTCAATTTTTACTTGAATATTTAAATGGAGTACATGATTTTTATTAAGGGGGGCGTTTTCCTTAAGGGGGCGTTTATATGAGCAATTTTTTGTCCAGTATTTTAGAAAATCTAAACAATGTATAATAATAATAAGCATTTATTCATGTCAGCCTTTACAGGATATGAAGCGTCAGTAGGAATACAAAAGAATAAAAATTGAAATACAATTTAACAAAGTTTGTTTTAACGATTGTTATAATTGTGAAATTCCTGCAAACTGTAAAAACAGTTTTATAAGAGGAATGAGCGAAGCTCCTTACGAAATTTATTAATGTTTCTTTCTTCTCGTATCGGTGTCGGTAAATTATTAAATATCGTTCCACAGAGATAGAAAGGTCCTTTCTTATACATAGTTAAATTAAATTTATTTATCAGTACGTTGTATTTCCCTCTTGTATTATGATTATGAACATTGTCATACCTGGGAAACAGGGATTCATTTTGATAAAAACACTTGCCTCATATATGACACATGGAAGTGATAAAATTTTATCTCTTATCAGTGTGGAGCGACATGACTCCAAGGGTTTTAAAGAAAATATTAACCGAATATTTTTTTTTTTTTGGTAAATAAATACTCTTTGAAAGTCACAACTAGATCCCCAATAAATTATTAGATATTTCATATGAGAGTAAGCCAGTGCAAAATATATATTTAGTAAATATTGTCTATTCATATAACCCTTCAGATTTCTTATGGCAAAAAAGGCTGATTTAATTTTATTTAATACAT